AATGTCACATTTGCATTCAACTGAACTTTGAATCCTATTTCGCAAAAAGCAAGGAATGCTCGTTTTGACTCCGATCTGGATCGGTGAGCATGAAGGACAAATTAAAGTTATTGATTCAGCAATCACTAACTTTAATCTTACAGGTTAAGACATGTACAGAAAAAGTAAAACATCTAAACCAACACTTTAAATTAAGAGTATTTTATGCATTAGTTATACGACTTTTAACCCATGAATTTAAAAAAAAAAAAAAGAAAATAATCAGCTGTGGAAAAGTTGTGTAAGTTTCTCATTGTGTACATACTGTGTGTCTGTAGTTGTATCTTCTAATAGCCTCTCGGATGTGACAGGGCTGGATCGCTCCGCTGGGAGGCTCCACTGTAGCCGGACAGCTCTGAAGCGCAATCATGAGTAATAAGTATTAACACAAATACAACAGAGGACGCAATGGAATGTTTTGGATGTTTCCTTTAGGAACGTGGAGTTTTCCATGAGCTGAAAATGGTCACCTTGTCTCGTGTGTTCAGAGACTTACATTTAGCAATTAGCAATAACATCAGTTATTATGTACATTAAGAAAATTAACAGAGGAGTTCATACTCTACATCTGCACAGAAGACTTTCTCCTAAAAAGACACATTAAAGTGTGACTCGTCAAAAATTAGTACAATCAAGAGATTAATACAGCAAAATGTTTGTTATTGTCAGAGCATTTATTCATTATTTATCACAAGTCCTTCTAAAAATATGATCAAGCAAATAAATGTACAATAAATCACAACAATTATTGGCTACTTTAGTTGTACCTGGGGTCCAAACTTTAGACCCATTTAACCCAGACACTCCTGCTTAGATTCAGGACTATTAACATGTGTTTTGATCTCTAGAGTTATACTGAATCTCAGTGCGTTTCATTTAAAATGAAAACCACTGGTTTGGAATCATACCTGCAGTGACTTCTCTGACAACATTCATCATACAAAACAAACATTTATGCACCAGATACTTAATAATAATTTACAAGTTAAAAAGGATGTTTTACAGGGTGTATTTGTGCAGCCAAAAGGCCCTTAATCCCCCTACTCTGCGGCATCCTTTATTCCACGGTCGTGTCGATGACAATCTTTTGTTAAGCACACTTTATATAGATCTCATGTAAGGTTGTGATTCCATTCTGTTGACAAAACCTATGAAGAGGCAGACAAACGCCTTTGCTGAAACCTGCCGCTATAAATAAACTGCCTTTGTAATTTCTCCTGTGCCTTCATGATACACACAGACATTAAACTCATAAGAAACTGCAGCTGGGACTCACCTTTTTACGTTTCCTCTGCCTCGCCCTGCCATCCACACTGCCGTTACCTTGTAGGACGGGCTTTGACGAGTGTGAGGACCCTGGGGTGGAGGGAGGGGTGGCTTCAGGTGAGTCTGGATCCTTCTTCACCTGCTGGGGAGGAAGACGAAAGACAGATGATATTTACTCAGTAATATTATGACGGTAGATTTAGCGATTGATAGGTCTCAATGTGTGATGAAGTGTGTGTATGCACCTCAGCATGTGTGTTGTAGTGGATGTAGCTGGCAGAGATCACATGACTGACTGGATTCGTCTTTGCTGTCATTTCCTGCTTCACCAAGAGCGACAAATCCACGATCTGAACGAAGGAAAAGCATTTTAAAACAGGGGAAAGCTTTTAAATTACACGCACATATGTGAAGTAATGACTTAACAAGTTACCTGGGCAACAGTCTCATAAGCGAGGTATGACAGGATCTCCATGGCCATGCTGTTGGGTTTCAGCTCCAGGCTGCTGCAGTCGAGCCAGTCCCGAAACTTTGAAGCTTTCTTAGCTTGGAGTGAGCACAAGTAAGCACACATGACAAGAGGTCAGACGGGCTTAAAATGCTGAAACTGATCCTGAATCAGGTTTTTACCGTACGTACCTTACGCTTTTAAATTTAGAAGTGAAATAATCAGCTGATTATTCAATTGGTGAACTAACAGGATAAAAACACAGTCCACAGCTTTATTTGCTTATTTATAAGATGCCCATAAACCATGATTTAGAGCACAGGTAGAGTCCGCATTAAAAAAACTATACGCAACATCAAACCGACATGAAAGCAAACATTAGCAATAAAATGTAATCCTTTACTCCTTTTGTACCTATGACAGAATCAACTTCCTGAGACAGATACTAAAGGGGCCGTTTAAAATCTTACCAAAGCTGAGCTGTCGACTCTCACAGAACTCAGCGTACTGAGCCGGGTCCATATTCCGAGTCTGACGCTCCAAACGCTGAAAATTCAAATACACATAAAAACACTTAAAGTTAAATCTATAATCCCAGTTTCTCCCACTGAAAACGTCCAGATGAGCAGAATCAACTTTTTGGGAAATCTTTATCTGGATGATTGAGCAAGCGTCAAGGCGTTTTAAATCTATAAGTTCATATATGTGTCATTTACTTTCAAAACAGCCCTACTAATCAATCATTTTCATGCAGACATTGATGAGCTCTGACCTCCATCCTCTCCTGTTTGATGGGGTCTATTTCCTGACGTTCTGCTAATGACAGGAGTTCACCGGTCTGATCCATCCACACCAGGAAGTCCTGGGCCAGTCGCTGCCTCCGCTGGTTAGCACCAGCAGGACCTACAGCACCCCATTTGTTCACAAAAGACAAAAAAGAAAGAAACACTTAAGATGAAAACCAGAGCTCAGTATTCACTTGGATTTTGACTGTAGCATTTGAAGCTTTTTTTGTACAAAGTGGTTTCTGAAAAAGTTTGGATGCTGTAAAAATATATATTTTTAAAGATCTGCAAATTATTTAAAACCTATATGTAATTTAAGGTATTGCAAAAACAACATATCAAATGTGGGAACTAAGGTGAATTTTGTATTGTGCAATGTGCAATATGATAATGTTAAATTTCGCCTCTGTCAGTGCGCCCCAGGGCGGCTGTGGCTACAATGTAGCTT